ATTAAAGATTATAGAAAGCATTATTCCTCGCTCTCTTTATTCTGACATACAAGAAAATATAGTTAAAAACAAAGAAAAAAAAGAAGAAGAAAAAACAACGGCTTTACTCTCGTTATACAAAAGTACAAAGTTATGCTTGTCTATCACCAATTAGTGGAGTAAAAGAATAAAAAGTAAAAAGTGTAAAGACCATTATGAAACAAAGACGGAGGCGCTTTATTTATCGTATACGTATTAATCATTGATTATTTCAAAACTTTAATATTTATTCGTTTATCCGATCGTTTTCTCTGCTTAAATTAGATACTTTTCATTTAGGTAATGGCAGAAAGGAGGAAGGATTATTATTATTTTTTTTTTTTTCAATCACACTTGTACCAACAAAAGCATAAGTCAACGAATTGTTGTACGACGAGTTTCGACAAAAAAAAAAAAAAAAACCTTCAATGTTCCGCTCAATTGTACGTGTAATCGACAATTTCGCAAATTGAGTAGTATCGAGTCAATGTAAAAAAGAATCCTTCTGTAAATGAACAATAAAAGAAATAAATATATAAAATAATGAAAGTGCAATAGTAAGAGACTAGGAAAAGTAATTTAAGGAGCATAAATATGCGAGTGCGCTATAATATTGCAAAAGTGATTAACGATAACTGGCCGTATGGATAAAGAAAAGAATTCATTTAAGAATGAAATTTTTGTCACGTCACATAAACGAGCAACGCGAGACAGAAATAAAGGGAGAAGCAAAAATCATGAACGAGTGTTAAACGTGTCAATGAATAATGAATGCCTGAATCGCAGCGAGTTGGCGTTTGCGCTAATCGAACGCGCCTCAATATATTGTTACAAAGATTGGAAGCCGCCAAAAGGGAGGGACAAAAAAAAAAAGTAAGGATCCCGAGGTAGAGAGAATAAAAAAAAAAGGAAAGAAAATGAAAACGAAAGAAAGAAATAAAAAGGACAATACGACGACAATGATAAAAGGCTAAAAGTAGTGACTATGTAAAGCGCATACGTTATGATCTTCGTTAAATAATGCAAAAGGGAATTCCGTAGCCTGAATTCAAAATCGATTCGGCTGATTAGCCACTGCTAGCGCGACGTAAGTCACGTACTTATGCGCTTCATTGTGACGCCGTACGTACAATGAACTCTCGAGCGATTACTTTTATAAGCTTTATGCGCCTCGAGGACTGTGTGTGTCGATGGCCATTCCGTGCCCGAACGTTTAATCAAAAATGCGTATTGTCTTGGCCTAGCCATCGGCCAGGTACATCGATATCACGAAGCTTAGCACGAAGTTTGGCTTAAGATTTTTCCAAGCAATGCGACGTTTGTTTGCTTCGTGTCACTTAGTCGAGAGTAATTACTAACACCAACGATACGCGACGACAAAATTTTTATAAATATCCTGCCAATAGAGCTTCTTATTCTTAGACAATTACCATGACGAAGGCCTACATTAATTTGTTCTACTACGTTTATTTGCCTACTACGTTCAATTTGTTTAAAAAATTTGGGATTTTTTTAATGCGTGCGATTGTGCCGAGTTTGAGTGACGCGCTGAGCCGAAAATATAATGAAAAAACGGTAGCTAAATTTACAAAAGCACAGATGATATTTCGTTACATCTCGGTGCAAGAATTTCAGCAAACATAAAGATATTATTCTCACCAAGTTTTGGGAGGCTAATTTTGTCTGGTTTGTGATCAATTATTAATCAGTTATCATCATACTTTATTCAGCGGAAAATCAATTTCTTGGCCAACTCCATTCATCATTTCACGAAATTCAATAATATCCATTATTATTGCACTTTTTATGTTTTATTACGCCGTTTTATTATTACACGCCGTTAAAAATAAGAAAATTTTGTTCGAATAAATTGAAATTCCAAGCACCGTGGGCAGATAATCTTGGTAAAAGCAGTATGAAATATCTGCCCTAAACACTTTAAGCATTTATCGAACGATTTGATATTTGCAAATGCGTAGTAAGCTCACTGTTTTTTTTTTCTTCTCTTTTATTTCTCTTTTTTTTTTCTTTAACAAAATTTTCTTTAATATTCATAAAAATTAACGACCCGTATATTTGGAATTTTTCATTAAGAGCAGAAGATATGCGTTACAATATGTTGGCTTATAGCGATCTATGTAACAAGTGCATACGCAGTAACTTCTCCGAGGGAAAAAAAAATGCCATTAATTTTCCGATTATAAACAGTGAAGCGAGACATTCAATGTAATTTACCTCAACTTATGAGTTTCATTTCCACATTTTCTTTATACGGTACCCTTCTCCCACTAACCATGAGAATTTTACATAAAAATTATTAACTCGGTAGATTACCAATGTAGTGTGTTTCCACTTTACTCTGGGAAATAACAAGAATTTTCACGCTATTATTTTTCACTGGGATAGTAGTAGCCAATTTTTAACCAAAACCGATTCATCTTTCCTCGTTCGCCCTTTCATAGGCAAAAGAAAAAGGGGAAAAAAGAAAACAAAAACAAACACAAAAAAAAAAAAAAAAAAACAAAAAAAAAAACAAAAAAAAAAACAAAAAAAAAACAAAAAAAAATAATAATAATAATGAAAACTGGGGGCAAATTATAACGAGGAAACGGACTATTGCACATCATTAAAATTCACTCTCCTCTTTCTTGCTCGTTCGTCGTTGGAAACAATACCGAATACTCGCTACTCGAAAAACACATTTTGTATATCGTCTCATTCGAGGAATAAAAGTTCACACGAAAAATTTAGAATATATTTGGGATTTAAGCACTTGAAAATTCGCTTGAAAATATTTCACGACTCTTGAAGGGATTACAGACATCAATTATTTGGAATTTCATTACTATTCTATATCGACGTGTATTGTACCAATTTCAAATTACACTCAATTATTTTTATCACTTTTCTCTCACTCTTCAACGGACATTTATTTACAATTTTTAAACTTGAGTCACAAGAATGGATACGCTGAAAATATTTTCACTAACTACAAAATGTATAATTACATTGTAATAATCATGTCATATAATATTCAATGGAGCGAGAATTTTGTATCACTTGAATATATACGTATGTTGTTGATCAATGTGTGTATGTATGTATTTATGTATGTATGTATGTATGTATATATATATATTTTTTTTATTTTTTTTTTTTTTTCATTTAATTTTCGTTTCATAAAGTATGGAAAATTATGAAAAGCTTTGTCTCGTTTATACAGAATTTGATTTGAATTAGTGAGGCTAGATTGTTTCTTGTATCGCAAGCAAGTAATTATAAAAGTTAAAGAAAGTGATTTGAAAAATTGTCCCTTCATCTAATACATAACTGATAGATAATTTTAACAAACTGCTATGTTTAATGATTAATCGTGTCTATCGCAACACAGAAAATAATGCATTTTGGCATTATTTTGTAAAAACTTCGAGGCAGTAAAGCATTTTTTGGTTTCAGATTTTATAACCACAGAGAATGGAAAAACGCGGTCCGTGGAAAAAACGGAACGGAACAATGTACGATGTCGTAAAATTATTCGTCCACTATCAAAATTGATCACAAATAAAAACAAAAAACAAAAAACAAAAAAAAATAACGATTTTCACATGATATAGACTATTACTGTTTAAGCGCGGCACTAAAAACTTTACAGCTAGATCATCCGCGAGTTCCGATTCACTCGACACTGACATTGAACTCGAATTTTCCGACATGACAAACTTCCGATGTACCACTTTGTATATTCGTTCTTTAACTTTCTTATACAACGGCACGCTCGAGCTGTCGCTCTCGTACACTCGGGGGTTGTTTTCGTGTGTGTTGTCTAGTGGGCGGGTTAATGTTAGTAAAAGCTCGTTATTTGTCACGGGGAATTCAAATTCAAAATCATTCCTGCGTATGCTCGTCTGCGCTCACGAAAATATCGTACTTTTTCTCTACCACCTCCGTCAATTTGTCCGCCTGCACGTTGTCCACGTCGTCGTCGTCGTTGTCATTGTCGTTGTCGTTGTCGTTGTCGTTGTCGTTGTCATTGTCGTTGTCATCGTCGCCGTCGACGATGTAGCAAAGAGAAATCTTTCGCCCGAGAAATTAACATTTCTTTCTGTATTTTCAAAGCGATTTATAAATTTCGTCGCGATCGCGACGACGTTTTTCATTTCCTTTATTTCATTTGTTTTGTTGAAAAGCCAGAGGCCGATTTCATATAAACGACGAGTTGGAAACAAACAAGAATTGAAGCCCGTCGCGCTCGTGGCCGAGTCCCACGATCGGCATTTTCGGCGTTCCAGGAATCACTCCTTGTCGGAAAACAAAACAGGATCCACGACGAAGCCGATGACGACAACGAGGACGACGTCTAGGACGATAGTGATAGTTAGGAGAATCGAAGAAGACAAGCTGACGATACGTGGACGGGGGACGCGGACGGGGGACGAGGAAGGGAGAAAATACGAGCGTTGATGAAGCGAGACGTGAGGAGGTGGAGGAGGAGCGACGGGAGGATGGAAACCGGAGGCATAGTACGAGCGCGGTTCCGCGAGCGCAGAGCGTCGCACCGTTAGGAGGTTGCCATCCGCGGACTTTGAACTTGAATGTCGCGCACCCCCGCTTGTGAGGAAGCGAAGCTTTGAAATTTGTTTGCACATTGATAGAAAAATTTTGGTTCTCTACCTTCTCTCGCAACGTAATAACGAACCTCGAACTCTCTCTCCCGCATATAGACAAACTTATTATATTCTATCTTCCAGAGAAAATCGCGCACTTCCTCATATTTCCTTACACAGGTATGCCTGCGCTCGCACACCGAACGTAGGCGTCATCGTATCACTCTCGCACTTTATCTATCTCTCTCTCTTAAACTACTCATTTTAATACGGTAAGGCCCTCTCGGGCTTTTAACGTGTCGAAGCTACTAAAGGAGTTAAATGAGAGATGATTTTTTGGCTTCCCAAGTATTTGCTTGGTTGCGTTTCATGCACTACCTCGACCACCGCCGTAGCAATAAGTGTACTCGTTGTAATCCATGCTGGGCCTCTTGAGGAGTCCCTCGCCGGGTGGGACGAGATCCAGGAGGACGGCCGTCGGCTGATGATGATGGTGGTGGTGGTGATGATGGTGCTGGTGATGATCGCACATTTGCGACACTTTTTCGTACGCCGTCACGTCATTACAATATTTGGGGTCAGGGGGGGGGGACTTCTACTCTCACGTACGCGGAACTTTAAAGGGGCCCTTCCCTAAACCTCGCACTCAATACACAGACTCCGCATTCGTGCTCTTCCGTGGCTGCGCGCACCGACTATCACTCTCATAAAATACCAACCGCGTGTCTACTTCCCTAGCTTTATTTCCTTCTTTCGTTCTCCCGCTCGCTCTCTATCTATCTCTCTTTCTCTCGGCCTTTATACTCGCGCCGCGAAGACGTGAAGGAGAACGAGTAACGCACGCTTGCGCCGTCGGCGGCAGACTGAGGCTCCGTGCCGCAGCCCGTCTCAGTGTCAGGGATGAGAGAAAGAGAGAGAGCGAGACAGGCAGGCAAGCACACAGGCGCACCGACCGCTCGGGTGGGGGAGCCTGTGAGAAGGAGGGCGAGGACGGCCGAGGGTGGGGGCCGCGGCGCCGAGGACAACAGCCGGTCTTCGAGGATCTAGCCGAGCGCCGAGAGCGGCACCCACTACTCCCCCGACCCACCGCTATTCGATTCCCTCGACCATCTCACTCACTCTCATCTCCCTCGATCTCTCCCCCTCCCCCTGCCAATCCCGACCAACAATTCTCCCTTACTCCTCCTAGTCGTCATCGTCGTCGTCGTCGTACTCCTCCTCCTCCTCTACCGTCGACGTCGAAGCCACCGCCACCGCTTCATCCGCCTCATCCTCCGTCACTACCGTCACCCTACCATCACCCCCTTCCACCCGTCATCCCCATTCTATCGCTCTCTCTCTCTCTCTCTCTCTCTCTCTCTCTCTCTCTCTCTCTCTCGCTCTGTCCGTTTACATGTACACCGGAGATGATGCTTACGATGGACCGGAGTCATTCGCATCTCCCTTTCGTTAAACACCTCGGCATCTCGTTGCTCGCGGATAATGAACAAAATTCGGCCCTCCCACGGATAAAGCCATGGCTGCTCGCTTTTACGTTTTTACGGAAAAATTCTAAATCTTGAATGGCGCCCTTCATAAGAAGCTCACTCGTGTGTTCATCGTAGTTGGAAGTCTCGTGGAAAGCGTAAACGTATCGCCGGGTACGTGTGTGACGTCGTGCCTTATGCTCTCGGTCCATGGGACGTCGGGGTCGCTGCTCACGAGAGATGGCGCTACGCTCTCTTTTTCCCGGCGATTCCGAGCCTGTGAGAGCCTTGCTTTAACAGGCGATACTTTGTAACGATGCAATGTGCGCGAAATTATCTTCTTTAACGACATATTCTACACTTCCCCGTCACCCCCTTCCTTATTCAAATAAAAAAAGAAATATTTCTCTCTCTCTCTCTCTCACAGCACGCGCACACAAACACACACAAACTCACACACACACACACACACACACACACACATAATGGAGAATCGCCGGAGTTTCTCTTTTTCGCGTCTTTGCACTACAGTCCGTCCCCTTCTTTCTAACACTAGCGTTTCTAGGTAAATAATTCTTGCCGCTTGCCGAGTTACTTTTTTCTTTTGCGTTTTTCAATAGACCAACACAGTGTGCGCTGACTGTTGTGCGACTTAATACGTTGCACAAGCGTTGTATAGTGCTTGCACATTTTCCCGACACTCTCGTCTCTCGAGCCGAATATTTACATAAAACTTTTTCTAAGACAGTTGTTTTCATCCCGATGAATTGTTCATCGATGACTCTGGTTTTTGTGGATATGCGGGCACGCAATAATCACTTAACCCAATAAAATAATAGACTCGTCGTGGCGCAGACAGAGAGAAGATTCCAACTTGGTCCTTTAATTTATGTTTCGGTTTTATTGTACTTTCATTGGATGCATTCGTATCTGCTTTGGTATTCCATTCATTGATATATTATTTGGCCTTTTATCACTTTCTCGCTACATTTCTATAGTCTCCTATCCTACGTATATCCTACATTCGTGCGTATATTCCCTTGAATGTTGCCGACGTTGTAAACTCTTCATCAACGTGTTCTGCTTTTGCAAGGCGTTGTACATTAAGGAGGAAAAAAAAATTTAACAGAGTGAATTATCGAAAAGCACTTTATCATGTGAATAAGGGAACGCATGCTTGTACATAAAGCGCAGAAATTCCCTTCAAATGCAATTAGAAATTCTCGTTATTCCTTTTACTGGGATACGAATTTAAAGCAAATATTCTCATAATGTATAACGTTATATAAAACAATGGCTTAAAAAATATTAATACAATATGCTTTACGATACATTAATGACAGCGTGAAAATAAAATTTATGTTTCATTAAGCTATAAATGCGTTAGATTCTATTGTGCTAAGATGATTAAATTTACAAGAATCTAGTTTACTATTGATTAGTTACTATTACTATATGTATGTACATATATTTATATATATAGAAGACAAAATTTGTATATATATTTTTTTGTTTGTTTTTTCTTTCAATTGATAATTAAGTACAATGTAAATCCTATAATATTATAAGCATTTATAAAAATAATATTGATCATGCAGTTTTGATAAATAAATAACGTCCTTCGAATTCCTCGTTTCGATCGACGAATGACATTCAACGTTTAATTGATAATTTAAAATCCAATATCTATAAAAGGTATCCAAATTTGTTAGATTCCGCGGATCTGAATATAAAACGGGTCAAGAACCTTTCATGAGAGCAAAGATATCAAATGGTCTTTATACTTTCCACGACGTCTTACACTAAACCCCTGGACTATTACTTTGATTCCCTGTCGTCGAACAATCAGAATCTGATCCAAGACGTGCTTCGCGGATTTACTTCATTCTTTATCGCGAGGATTTTACTTTCGGATTTCCTTGATAAGCTGCCCACGCACGCTGATGACTCAACGTTTTATAGTGTTCGAGTTGCCTACTTTTCCATCTTATTTTGCTAAAGCTACTCTCGGCAAATGTTTCGTCTTTTTTTACGATCTCGTTTCACATGGCATTATGTTGAAAGTCTTATTAAATATAACTCAAAGAGTTAACGTTTGAACTTTCATCGATATTGCGAGTGCGATACTTTTTATGCACTTGCTATTATTATCTGCGATAGGAATATTAATATGACGCGTACGAATAATAGCCAAGGAATTTAGTTTCTTATTCGATCCGTGTAATTTTCGTATTAACAGATGAGATTAATTATAAGTATGCATTATTAAATTGTAGAATATTGTATTATAACGACATCAAGATTATTGATTTAGCTTCATCGGTAATAATAAATCTAAGATAAACTTCAATGAGTGCATAAGCACATGCATAAAACAAAATGTGTAGATCGTAAGTGCTATACATTATCAGTAGGTATTCATTGAATCGAAGATCTAAAAATACTTTTCTTGATTCATGGAACCATTTTATTTGCTTAGTAAAGGGTCTCTTTTCTTTCTTAATAAAGCGTTTCTCCATAAAATATACGCGCGTGTGTGTGTGCGTGTGTGCGCGTGCGTCTCTTATATATATATATATATATATATATATATATATATATGCACATGTGAACTTTAATAAATAATCATGAGTTAGATTGTATTATGTAATTAATTTAATTTCATGATATTAACGGATAAACGGCCTGCAAAAATTAGCCCAAGTAGACCATGAATGATATGCTAGTTTCGTTATTAGACAATCGAGTTAAATATGGCAAACGACACTGTCACCTTTCGGTAACGAGGGCGCACATCGGCCGGAAAAATAAAGAGCGGAAAGACGAAGTCGGCCTCTAAATGAAATTAGAAGATATTGTGCGCGCAAATGTGAAATTGACCATATATCTTGAGTTCTTAATCCCCGAATAAAAAAGAAGGTGAAGAAAAAAAAAGAGAGAAACCGTGATAACTAAAATCACATCCCGTAATGTACGAGAGTGCGAAAATCTCCGCGCATAATCGCAGGAGCGGCTATATGACAAACGGCCGTTTCATCGTTCGCGCGCGCACATTCGCCAGAGATTTTCAAAGCCACGGTGTGTAAGACTCGTGCTGGCTCGTATCTCAGAGGCTCAGCGGCGTCGAAGAAGCGCGCCAAAATCACATATAAAAGAAAAAAAAAACAGAAAAAAAGAAAATAAAGAACGAATAAAAAGAAAGAAGAAGAACAAACCAGTCGCACTTTTGCGTTGTAATGCGCCGGATCCGCCACATATCTCGTATGCTTTACGTCTCAATAAGTCGCCGGGGCCGTAGCGAGTTATGCGCCGGCATGAAAAGAAGGCGAGGGTGGCGCGGGGACCTTTAATCCCCTTAATCAACTATCGCTTGTGATATGCAGGAGAGATAGAGATAGATATAGAGAGATAGAGAGCTAGATAGATAGATAGAATATAGGTGGTAAGATAGATAGAGAGAGAGAGAGAGAGAGAGAGAGAGAGAGAGAGAGAGAGATAGAGAGAGAACGAGGGGGAGAGTGTGGGGCGGAGGGGGGGGGAGGCGTATAAAAGGGCGGGTGATATTCGCGAGGGATATTAGTCATGGGAGTGCATTTACGAGGAGAAGAGAGGGATTTGGACGAGTTTGGACGATGCGCGTTCCCTTTTTTTTTAATGCCTGCAACGGCGATACTTAAATTTACATTCGTAATTTTCTGGCTGCTTATTGCGATTACTTAAGGCGTGCCTGAGGATGACAGGCCAACGGGTCCAAGAATCAGCGTTAATTAGAAAGCTTTCCCTCCCAACTATAAATAGTAGGCTTTATTGGCAATATTACTTTATTGCTTATGTTTTTGTACGACCCCATTAATTAAATGCTTGGTGATAAATTTTCATTTCGCAATTGCGTTGTTTGTGTAATTCGTCGATGGGCTCGCGATCGCTCATTACGAATTGTTTACAAACATTGGTTTTTTTATTCATAAGCAACTAGAGCCGTTCTTGTTAAAGTTTTCAAAATCACGTATGACGAAATTCGCCGTACGTGCCAATATTTATCGCGATATTTAAATGATTATTTACGAGTAATAAACTTTAAATGCCACGCTGGTAATGCTGAATTTCATTTTTGA